TTCACCATAAATTTCTAAATAGGTATGAAAGATCATTTATTTAAAAAAAAAAAAAAGTAAGAGTTGGAGAGATGGCTCAGTAGTTAAGCGAGCTTACTATTTTGCAGAGGACCAGGGATTGGTTGCCGGCATCCACATGGGACAGCTCACAACTGACAGTAACTACAGTTCCAATGAATCTGACACTCTCTTCTGGCCTCTGCAGGCATCAGGGGCCCATGTGATGCACATGCATGCATTCAGGCAAAACATCACACACGTAAAACAGAAATGAATAATATTAAAAAAAAATACATTCCTGCATCATGGTGAGAGCCAAATCAAGTCTGGATGTGTAGCTGTTAAGGTCTTCACAAAGGCTGATGTCTTAGTTATTTTTCTATTGCTGTGAAGAGATACCATTACCAAGGCAACTTATAAAAAGAAAGGGTATATTGGGGGCATGCTTACATTTTCAGAGCATGAGTGCATAACCATCATGATGGGGAACATGTCAGCAAACAGGCAGGCATGGCACTGGAGCAGTAGCTGAGAGTTTACATCTTGAGACAACAAGCACCAGGCAGGGAGGGAACCAAATGAAATGGTTTGGGTTTTTGAAGCCTTCCAAGCCCATCCCCAATGATGCGCCTCCTTCAACAAGGCCACACCTCCTCATCCTTGCCAAATAGTTCCACCAACTAGGGGCCAAGCATTAAAATAGATGAGCCCATGAAGGCCATTTGCATTCAAACCACCACAACTGAGAAACATTATTGATTTTTTTATGTGTATGAGTGTTTGCCTGTATGTGTATGTGCACCACACACATGCCAGGTGCCCTGTGAGGTCAAAAGAAGCCATTGGGTCCTCTAGAACCGGAGTTACAGACAATTGTAAGCCAACATGTGAGCACTGGGAACTGAACCTGAGTCCTTTGCAAGAGCAGCAAGTGCTTTTAACTGCTGAGCCATCTCTCCAGCCCTATATTACTGATTTTTTAAAATGGCTTCATTCCACAGAGTGAGATCTCTAAGAATTAGAAACTGAGAGTCTCTACTATGAAGCTAAAATGTTTAAGCCCTTGGGTATTCCTGGGAACTGTCAAACTTGAGAGTCACTCAACTCCATAGCCTTGATGTTTTCTTCCAATTTCGTGTTTTAATCATTTGTACAACACTGCAAAATGCCTTGTTTTACAAACATGAAATTTATATAGCATCTATGAAATGCATTTTGTGCAAATGCCTATAAATCTGCTGGATTTTTTTTCACAGATTAAAATTCTGCTTGTAATCTCAGGAATAGGAACTTTTTTACATGTATCCTGGAACAGATCACTTTATCTGGCCTGTTTCCCAATTATGAAAGTTCCAAATCACTGAGATATAAATAAATGAGACTTTACCACACTCAGAACACCAGTATGATGAAAAATTTGTTTACAACAGGAGGTTTTAGGTCATCTTTCAATCATTCATCCCCTGAACCAAAGTAGGCATGCCAGAGAGTGCACACGCACACATACACACACACCCAAATGTGACACATGGTAAATGCTGGGTGGTCACTGAGCCGGAATGAAGGAGACCTTCAAATTCCATCACCTTCTTCACCTTATATTTTTGGATACAAGAATTAAAGGCATCCAAATACTGTTGACATGACCTGCTCAGGCTTTTTGCTTACATTTCTCTCATTTCTTATCTTGTAAATACTGTGCTTTGATCCTGGTGATGTTAAAGGGAGTAATGAATGAAATATTTTTAAGGAATAAAAACTACAAACTGAATGTGCTAATGAAAACTACATTAAAGAGCTTATAAAACTTGTAGCAGCTTGCCCTAATAAGGAGTTCCAATTCTTGCAGTAAGACAGCAACTTGTAGATTTTGCCTGATCTAAATTTGAGCTTGAAAGCTCTGCTAGAACTATTCAGGAAAAAAATTAATTGAAACTTCCTTCAGCTCAGTACAAATTCCTCTAATTTTAGTTTTGCAAATAACAAGATATATATTTTTTTCATTGTGTATATTCATTGTACAGAGTGTGGAGTTTCATACAGATAATTCTTTTAAAGTATGTCATGTACATTGACAGAGCAGAGTTTTAAATATTATTTAGAATTAAAACTTATTGGTACTGGGTAGGACAACTGAGTTACAAGCTTTAGAAATGAGTTGAATGAACACCATATAAACACAGTAGTACAAAAGGTTTGAATGGTGTCTTTGTCATACAAGAAAGCTCCACATGACAAAACCAAGTCCTGTCCTCTGGTAGAAAACATATAACCAAGGAAGTGGGGATTCCCTTTTCTCCCATGTAATTCTCCACTGCATTTCCCATGGAGACCCGAATGGGTTGGGTGTCTGTCTCACTCGGGTAGAGTCTTTCCATGTTACTGGCTATCCAGCCATTCTGTTGTGTCATTGTTGACAAGGTTGAAGGCTTTGACCATTTGCCAACTGTTCAAGACCCCCTGTGGTGAAAGAAAGTCCAGTTCTTAGAGAACACATGGACATTTGAAGAGATGCCACAAAGACTCCAGGTCTTCTTCTCATCCTTAATCATGGACCAAAATTAACACCACTGTGGAAAAACACAAGCAAGATTGGTCCAGGGAAACTGGCTTTACCAGGGAATAAGAAGACTTTAGCAAAAATACATGAGCCAAGCATATAACTCATTTGGCCATCTATTAAACATATTTGAAGCAGTTCTTTAAAACATAAATCTAAGGTACTTAAGCCAGATGTGGTGGCACACACCTTTAACCCCAGCACTCAGGGAGCAGAGGCAGACCTCTGTGAGTCTGAGGCCAGCCTGGTCTAAAAAGAGAGTTCCAGGACAGTCAAGTTACAGCTGTTACACAAAGAAACCCTGTCTCGGAAAATAAATAAATAAATAAAATAATAATATATATTATATATTTATAGATATATAAAGATATTTATTATGACTACTTTTACTTTTTTTTTTTTAGCAAACCCCACTTCCCAGAGCCCTTTCCTCCACATCAGTTATGTGTAAACTTGTCCCATCTGGACTTGGATGGAGTGTATACATATGATGTTAGGACAGCCACAAAATTGTGACTTCCACTGCCCAGTCCTCCTTCACAGATTCACATACACCAAACTGCTTCCATCGTGGCTTCTCTCACACAAATAGAATGCTTGGTTATTTGAGCCTTAAATAGCAATTTAAAGAAGATAAAGAGACCCGTCTATCAATTCTGTGACCGCGCATTTACAAAATTACATGGCACAGGAATTACACGTGTGTTATTTCCAAAGAAAGAAGAAGAAAAGCTTGATGTGGATATCGGTTTGTCTCCCCGGTGGTGGGCGACTAGAATTCTCCACATCTTCATTATTGTCTTCCGTTTGTATGTACCAGCTAGTGGTCCTGAAGACATCAGGGCACAGTTTGAATGTGTATTCACTTTAAAGAAATTGACTCTGAGTGTTTTTCATTTTGTTCAACTGTATCCACAGGATTGGGGGGGCGGGGGCAGAATGAGTGTTTCAAGCTGCTAATTGCATGGATCATTTCTCTATTGGTCCAGCTCCCTCTATCGGTGGCTAGTAGTGCAGTCCCTCCAAAAGGTACTGTTCCTACTGAGGCATACTCAATGCACTCGCTGCATCCAAAGGCACCGGAGTTTCATTAAAGGAATCCTCTTGTTCCCTTCCTTCATATGGAAATGTCATTAACCGTATTAAGTTAGCTCTCTGGGTATTAGGTTCCTAACCAACACGCGAAGCTTCTCCACAGGGCCCATTTCACCAGGCATCATAGATCTGAGTCATGCCATGGGTTTCGATTAGATTTAAGAGGAACTCTTCTTGTATCTGTTGACTTTCCCTTCAATCATGGATGTTCCATTTCTCCCACAGACAACCACCTTGAGTCTTTCAGGTAAATGAGAAGTTCAATTATATGTAAAGTGAGTGTTAAATCAGCAGGCCCCTTGTGGGGGTCTGGGCTTTCTCTCCCTGCTTCAGTGGCCAGTGCGCTCAATCCATTACTGTTCCTGAGGATTGTACATCCATCAGGTCATGTGGGCCGGCCAGGGTGCATCTTATAGCTTTTACCGCATATGAGACGTTGCAGGCCTGTTCTCAGGAACTGCCAGGCAGACTGGGACTCACAGTCACGGTTAATAGCAGCGAATTGCCAGCTCTTGATGGGTGGGTAGTCACTCCTTTCAGTGGTTGCCCCCTGGGGGAGAAGGTAGAAAAACAGAGGGAGGGAATTAGACTGGCTTTGCACAGTTGAGCAGGTTCATGCCGCTGGATCAGTGGCAAGCATTGGCAGGGCTCCACTCTGGGGAGGCTCACAACGACATCACAGTCTCATTTTTACCAATTGGTGCTGCTGTATTACCAGTGGAGCACAGGGGGAGAGCAGAGGGGAGGGCGAGCGGAGGTGGGGGGATGGGAGGGAGGCAGAAGTCTAAGCTAAATTAAAGAAACAAACAAAACAAAAATGCATGCTCAGACCGGTTAGCCCACTTGCTAATTGTACAAAACTGGTATTTGAAGTTCCCTGGATGATTAAAAGGTAGACTCCCAGACTCTCTGCATAACCTTAATTTTTTCAAGGTTCTTTGAGTGGAGAATGGCTTATAATAATGATTTTGACTAATACATTTTTTGACATGCAACTTTAATGCTTAGCCTGAGTACAACTCTAGAGCATTTCATGTGTACTCAGCTGTAAAGAGTGATGATTTAAAGGCCTAATATAAGGGAAAGGTCGTTCTAGAATGAACCTCTAACAAATTGCATAAAGGAAGCTTATTATTCCATGAGTATAGGGATATGAAGCTCTTCTGATCATTTTTTCTGCTTGGTTCAGAAAGAATTGTTGAGATATGAATGGGAGAAGAAGGAAGGAAAAAAATGAAACAGAAATGTGCAAGCAAGGACCATTCTTTTGATGGTTATGATTCCGTTGCCACCTAAGACTCTACAATAATGTGGTTATTCATCTCCTCTTTTGTTTTGGGTGAAGAATTCGCTCTAACAAGAAAATGCTGCTGTTGGTTGGAGGGTTGCCTCCCGGACCGGACCGGCTCCCCAGCAATCTGGTTCAGTATTATGATGACGAAAAGAAGACGTGGAAAATACTCACAAGTGAGTGTACTTATTTATTTCCCGGCCTGTTTGTTTCAGGCTGGAGTTGTCTTGATGAATTAAAAAAACGTGGTTAATCAAATCAGACACTGTATTGATCTGCTACCCTTTGGAGTTTTGTTTGTATATCATGGGAGATTTAGAGTAAAAGACTAAATTAACATTGCCTAGGTGGCCAATTTAGTAGTGGAACAGGCCTAAATTAAAGCTGGCCTGGTTTGTGTTTCTGTGTGTGTTGGAACGGATGGGGGTGGGGCAGGGAGCAGAAATCGTCCCCTAGAAACGCTTTTGTTAGAGTTTTTGTTGTTGATACAAATCGAAAGGTTGTTTAGTCTGAACACTAGGAAGTTTTCACATGTCAAAATGGTAGGTGTTTTAGTTCATTATCTCTGTAACCAACATCCATTTGCCCTGTAAGCATCCTTGCCCACCTTTAGTCTGGAGGACCAGGTATTTCCAGAAATGGCCTCCTTAGGCTGCTCGAAAGCTTGATGGGCAGACATATTCACGGCTTCCCCCAGCTGCGTTAAACTGTGCTTGCCAACGTCCAGCCAAGACTCTCCTCTCCTCTCCTTAAAGGGTGATTGTGTTTTACAGCAGAACTTTTGCCTTGGGCACTGAGATTTGGAACGTATTGTTGTATCGGTTATGATTCCTGATCTGATGCAGTCATGGAATCAAAAATCATCGTTTCTTGAGTGCAGTAGGCTGCTCACACCAGTCCCCTTGTGGGCACAGTGGCTGCACTGGTCAATAAAACTAAATTTTAACTGTCAAAATTGCCCAGAGCTGTATAGATAAAATAATAAATGAGCAATTTTGATCCATGAATCAAAGCCATACATTTAAAACCAACAAAAGTGAAAGTTAGCTTCCTTATTCTGTATGTCTTTCAAGCATTTGTGTATTTTAGCAGATTGTTTTTGTAAAACCATTTCCTTGGCTCTTCCTGAAAGACCTTAAAATAATAGAGGCAGGAAAAGAGTTTCCCTTCAGAGCAGAATAAGAGTGAAGACATATGAGGTGGAGACTTAGGAGCTGCGCGCCCCCCAAGACCTGCAGTAGCATGTCCAAGCACTGCATCGAGACGGCTCCCTGGACGCCACTATGCTATGGTTGTAGTAAGGAAGTGGCTGACAAGAAACAGCAAGATTAAGCAGGAAGAGGAGGAGGAAGAAAATAAGTTAATGAGGTTTTGAAAAGGCTTTTGATTCTCTTTTGGATGAAAATGCCATTTCCCACGGTTTAGACATCTTTGTGAGTGAGCCAGCTGTATTTCAAAGATGCATCAGAAGCCAGCTAAAGTAGAATCAGAGAAGCAATGTTCTGACACCACCTGACCTGACCAACAGAGAACTCCTGTACAGACGACATGCCAACTCAAAGGACAGTTGGAGAAAGGACAAGAGATTTCCATAGAGAAAATCACAGAGTGCATAAGAGACACAAAGATCTTCAACTCCACTAGTAAAAGATAACCACTGATAAACCCACCTGCTTTCCCAAACACTCCACACGGCACCCAATTTGGGACTTATTGAGACCCTCCATGCCAGGGAAAAGGATCGTAAACAGCATCTCCAGAAGGCCTTGAATTTTTACATTTATTCTCTTGGTTGTTTGGTGTGTGTGTGTGTGTGTGTGTGTGTGTGTGTGTGTGTGTGTGTGTGTGTGTGTGTG